CTTCTCCTGGATAGGAAGACCAACATTGTGAAGACCGCTATACTCCCAAAATTATTATACAGATTTAGTGTAATTCCTAAAATTTATTTGGAACCAGAAAAAACCTACAATAGCAAGACAATTCTTGGCAACAAAGGCAAGGAAGGAGGCATTACAATTCCTGACTGAAATTATACTACAGGGGCCAGGAAAATAGTTCAGTAGAATAAGCGCTTGCCTGACAAGTGCAAGGGCCTGAGTTAAATCCCTGGTTCCAACAAAAGAAAAAAAAAAGAAAGAAAGAAATTATACTAAAAAGCTACTGTGATAAAAACAGCTTGGTATTGGTAAAAAAAATAGACCTGAGGATCAATGGAATAGGTTAGAACATGCAGAGGCCTACAGGTACACACTCAGCCATCTTACTTTTGACAGAAAGGCTTACTAGAATAAGCTTACTAGAAAAAAGATAGCCTCTTTAACAAAGGTATTGAAAAAACTGGCTCTCTACATGTCAAAAACTAAAACCTGACCCGGGTCTATCACCATGCACTAAACTAATGTCAAAATGGATTCAAGATCTAAACATTAAAACAGAAACACTAAATCTTCTGGAAGAGAATGTAGGTGGATATCTTGAGGACATAGGGGTAGGCAAACTGTTCATGAATAAGAATCAAACTGCATGGGAAATACTTGAAAGAATTAATAACTGGGACCTCCTCTTATTTGAGAAGTTTTTGCACATCAAAAGAAATTATCAACAGAGTGAAAAGACAATCCACAAATTTGGAAAAAATCTTGACTAATAAGCACTCAGAAAAAGGCTTTTTTCTAGAATTTATAAAGAACTGAAAAAAATTAGAGCCCCAAAATTTAAAGACCCAGTCCAGAAATGGGCATTTGAGATGAACACACACTTCTCAGAGGATGAAATTAAAGAAGCAAATAAATACATGAAAAAATGCTCCACATCCCTAGCCATTCATGAAATGCAAATTAAAATAAAACTAAGATAACATCTCACTCCAGAAAGAATGACTATCATAAAGAAATCAGCTAACAACAAATGTTGGAGAGGACATGGGGAAAAAGGAACCCTTTTCTACTATTGGTGGGAATGTAGACTGGTGCAACCATTATGGAAATCAATGTGGAGACTCCTCAAAAAACTAGGATTGTAAATCCCATTCAAACCAGCTATCCTTGTTCTGGGATTTTCCCAAAAGAACTGAAAACATCATATCATAGGGATATATGTGTGCCGATGTTTATAGCGGCACAATTTGTGATAGCCAAATCTTGGAAACAACCAAAATGCCTGTCACCTGGGGAATGGATGAAAAAGATATGGTGTTTTTATACAATGGAGTATTACTCAGCTATAAATGAAAATAAACTGGAAACCTTTGTGCATAAGTGGATGCAACTTGAAAATATACTCAGAAGTGAGATAAACCTGACACACATCTGTAAATATTGTATTGTCTCCCTAGCGTAAGAACTCAAAAGAAGAAATAAAAATTGGAAGTTATAGCACAGTTAAATGGAAAGTGAGACCTTAAGGTTTAAACAATGGAGAGAGAGAAAGGAGAAAAGTTAGGAAATGTGGCAGGGGCAAAACCACACATTTATTTAAAAAAGATAGTAAGGCAATGTTTCTAAGAATCTCTATCAGGTTTTTGAAAATAGCAGTTAATGGGTAGAATTCTCACCCTGACTAACTCTATATGCTGATAAATGTGAACTAAGCAACTACATTGAGGATAGCAATGTGTAATACTAAAACCATGCTTGAAATACCTATCTTTTGGCTATCTAAATGCATACTGCTTCTAATGCCATATGAATTATTGTTATGCTCCCTTTAAAGTATTTTTTAAATGTAATAAAAGAAAACAAGAGACAAGAAAAAAATGTCATATGACTGTCCTGCTACAATATTGTATATGGTTTGACCTCTAAATTTCAGTGTAAAAATTTATAATTGTTTTCACATTGCATAAAGATTTAAAGTTTAGAATATCCATGGTTGCTAGAAAATAGCAGTTCCATGTTATGTCTAAGGCAATTGATATACAGACAGACAGTTTTCTTAAGCTCAACTGCCTCTGTTACAGGGTAATGGTGTCATTAGGATTCTCTTCTGGATGTTTAACAACTAAAGTTTGCAGACCAAAAATTAGAGAAATAGAAGGGCTACAAGAACCACCAATATTTTGGCCCTAACCCTTCAAGGTCAGTGCGGACTCAGGACATAAGAGAACCTGTGCTATGATATTCCATAACTTAGTGGTATCCTAAATTTTCTGACCATGGAGATTATGGGGCCACAGAGGAAAGTGATCGATGGTGTAGAGTGTGTCTAAGGAGAGTTACCTAGAGAGAAAAATTTCTCTCAGGCTTTCACAGAGAGCAAATTAGTCAAGCAATGACCATGACTCACCTACATGGCTGACACTGACAAAAGATCTACAAGGTGCTATACATGATTCCAGTGTAAATCCTGAGGGGATCTGACTGACCTTGTCAGATACAAAAGTTAAATTTTTAATTATATAGGTCTTGCTTTAACTTGGTCTAAACTATCCAGCAGAAAAGTATAACCACAAGGTATAAAAAGTAATGCCATATTAATATATTGAACTGTAAAAGCTCAAGTCAACAACTTCTGACAATTGCCAGTTCTGCTGATAACCCACTACTATTATGGGCTATTGCACTGTATTGGGTTATTTTGATGAATTCAAGTAGCTACAGTCTTTACACTGGTTTCAAGTATGAAAAGGTCTTTTAAAAACTTCTCTAAATACAGCTTTTCTAACTGCAGTGGAACACTCACCTCTGAAAAACAAATCAAAATAGGGGGATACGTTGGGAGCCAAGAAGCTAGGAAGTCGATCAAATATATGAAGGTAGGACTTGGCCCAGAGCCTAAAGTAAACAAGCTACCTCACTCCTGAGAGGAACATCCTGTCTGGTTAAGGTTTGCTATCAGTTGCTAGGCAACCTAGCATCATTCGTTACTAACTTCACAAAACTGTAAATAAAGGACAGTCTTGTTGAGGAAA